GCTGTGCCGGAGGGCTTTTGAAGGCAGGCGGGGGGAGCAAAGACTTTCGCCCCCCTCCCGCCTTCAGAAGAGGTCCTGGAGGTCTTCTGAAGGCAGGCGGGGGGCGAAAGTCTTTGTTCCCCCCTGCCTGCCTTCCTGTTCTCCGCTGTCCCGGAGGGCTTTTGAAGGCAGGCGGGGGGGGGGAGCAAAGACTTTCGCCCCCGCCTGCCTTCAGAAGAGGTCCTGGACCTCTTCTGAAGGCGGGCGGGGGGCGAAAGTCTTTGCTCCCCCCTGCCTGCCTTCCCGGGAGAGCGGAGAAACGTGCAGCCTCTCCTTGCGGAGGGGTTGCGCGCAGCTATGGAAGAAGGCAAGGCAGCGAGCGGGATGGATCCCGCTCGCTGTTTTGCCTTCCCCTTTAGCCCCGTGCAGCCTCTCCTTGCGGAGGGGTTGCGCGCAGCTATGGAAGAAGGCAAGGCAGCGAGCGGGATGGATCCCGCTCGCTGTTTTGCCTTCCCCTTTAGCCCCGCGCAGCCTCTCCTTGCGGAGGGGTTGCGCGCAGCTATGGAAGAAGGCAAGGCAGCGAGCGGGATGGATCCCGCTCGCTGTTTTGCCTTCCCCTTTAGCCCCGTGCAGCCTCTCCTTGCCGGGAGACACTGCGCAGGGCTTTCCTGGCTTTTCTGGGAGGTGGGGGAATTCCCCCACCTCCCGCAAAACCGGCAGAAGCCGAGCACACTTTAAAAGGGCTGCACGGCTTCTCCTAGCTTTCCTGTCCCCCACGGCTTTTGAAGGCAGGCGGGGGGAGCAAAGACTTTCGCCCCCCGCCCGCCTTCAGAAGAGGTCCTGGACCTCTTCTGAAGGCTGGCGGGGGGCAAAAGTCTTTGTCCCCCCTGCCTGCCTTCCCAGGGGCTTTTAAATCGCCCCGGACAGCGGAAAAGTCCTCCGCTGTCCCGGGGCGATTTTAAAATGCCGCCTGCCAGCATTTTAAGATCGCCCCGGACAGCGGAGAAGCCCTCCGCTGTCCCGGGGTTTTTTAAAATGCTGGGGGGTGGGTGGGAAGAAAAGCCCTTGTCCCCCCCCCCGCCTTCAGAAGAGGTCGGGGGACAGACTGTCCCCGGACCTGGTCCGAAGTCGGTTTCCATAGGAACGCATTAATTGATTTTCAATGCATTCCTATGGGAAACCGTGCATCGCAAGACGAAAAACTCGCAAGAAGAAAAAACTTGCGGAACGAATTAATTTCGTCTTGCGAGGCACCACTGTATTGTTGTTAGCCGCCCTGAGCCCGGCTTCGGCTGGGGAGGGCAGGATATAAATAAAATTTATTATTATTTATTATTATTATTATTGTGTGCCCAAGTTCCATAGCACCCCCATTTATCCCCACTGGAAAGTCCTCTGCAGTGGGAAACAGAGTGGGAAACACTAAACCTGCTCAGTGCTGGCAGCCTCTGCCCTTGCCCCCCCCCCTGGAGAAAAACTCTGGAGCTCAACTCTGCAGGCCCTTTGCGGGGCCTAAACCCCAGCAAGCACTCCTGCTGCACTGACCTCTAGCAGCAAGCCCACCCCCACATTGTTGCTTAGTCGTCTTAGTCGTGTTCGACTCTCCATGACCCCATGAACCAGAGCATGCCCTGGAAACTCTCACTTTCTTCTCAAAGCTTCTCTTTTTTTATGTCCATGGAGTTTTCTTGGCAAAATACTGGAGTGGTTTGCCAGTTCCTTCTCCAGGTGGATCACATTTAGTCTAAACTCTCGATTATGACCTGTCCGTCTTTTGTGGCCCTGAACGGCATGGCGCACAGCTTCTCTTATTCAAGCCCCTTCGCCATGACAAGGCAGGATCCATGAAGGGGCATCCCCACCTATCCACCCACAAAAGGACAGGGAGGGGCCACAGCTCTGTGACAGAGATCATGCGCTGCAGGCAGAAGATCCCAGGTTGAAATCCGGGTGCCTCCGGAGAGGGCTGGGGGAGACGGACGCCCCAGAGAGCCACAGCCTGTCAGTGTGGTGCCAGCACAGAGCCAGGTGGACCAAGGGTGCTTGCAGATTGGGAGTCTATGATCAAAGCCCTCCAAAACCCCAGAGGCTTCACCACCAAGGAATCCCCCAGAAAAGCACCACTAGCTGCCATAGGAATTAACACGCAAAAGCCTGGGAGAGGAGAAATGTCCTCAGCTGGTGCCGCAAATAAAGGCAAACCTCCCTGAGGAGAACTATTCCAGAAGAGGGGTGTCTCCTGAAAAGAAGAGGGGGTTCTTGTCTTGCTCCCCCAGCCAAAAGGAAAAATCCTGGGAACTGCAGTTTATTCCCTACAGAGATACAATTCCCAGCACTCTTAACAAACCACAGTTCCCAGAATTATTTGAGGGAAGCCATGTGTTTTAAGTGTGCTTTAAACATTTGGCATCTTCCTGTCTTGCTAGCAGCAGGCAACAGCAAAGATTTCTCATTGCCTGAGGCACGGAAGTGCCTCTGCCAGTCAGAGTAGACAGCACTGGGTTAGGCGGAGAAATAGCCAGACCTGGTAGAGAGCTCCTAAGACCTTCCACTCCTCACAGGTCCCTCCTTTGTCATCCATCTCTTTTTAAATTATTGTTTTGAGGAAACGGCTACTGCATTCAGCATTCTGCATCTCACTGCATTCTGTGGGAATGGCAGCCACTCTCATGCCACAAGGGGTTAATTGCTTTTGATCTCAGGAACTGCGAATTCCTGCCTTCCTCCCCTCTTCTTCCCCCCACTTTTTCTTTGACTGCAGCCTGACAGACTAATAACTCTTCTGCCAGGTCTCCGGATAATTGCCCACCTCCCTTGCTGGGATAATGAGCGACAACCACCGATGCAGAGCCATTTGTTCCCCCAAAAGAGACGTCAAGATTGGACTGCTGCTGCAGTGCCAAGAGCTGGGTGGGGAGCTGGCACACCCGCCTTGCTGCCATGGCTCCTAGGGGATCACTCCCCAGGCTCAATCAAGCAGCCTGCCTGGCAAAGGGCAACTGCAAAGCAACTGCCCTCCAACCCTGGTGCTGAGTGGGCACCAGGATGGGTTGCTTTAGGATGGCACCCAATGGCTCCTGAAAGAGGGTACAGAGGGGCCCATAAACCTGGTTCCCCACATTTCCCCCCAGTTCAGCTCCTACCATCAAGCGGGGGGTTGTGTGCCTGCATTCTTTGCAATTGTTGTCTAAACTCGATTTGCAGCAATACAACATGAAAGGAACTGAAGCCTTCAGCTCAGTGGAAGAGAGTTTGTTTTGTTTTGCATACAGAAGGCAAAACCCCCAGCATCCACCCAGAAAAGACTTCTGCCTGAGGTCAGCAATCCAAGCAGAGTGTGTTTCATGTGGGTCAACGGCAGAAAGGCCTGGTCTCGATTATCCAGCGGCAGGTGAAGCTATGAAGGCCAGCAGTTAGCAGCAGGGCTGGGAAAGAAAGGCCTCTGTCTGGGACATAATGGGGCCGGCCAAGGTCTGAAAAAGAATCGGGCCCATTTCAGTGGCCATCTTGAATATCAAAGCCAAAGATGGAGGACAGAGGTTGAATCCATCACTCAGTGCACAAAATGCTCAAGACTCTTCCAGAGCGAAATGGGAAAGTGGGATCTGAAAGCCCCTTCCCACCAGAATGCCCTGCAAGGGAAGAGAGGGGCCTTCAGCCACTGCCCTCTGATTTCGTGCCCCGCCCCCCGTCAGAACTAATGGAGCCAATCATTCCTATGGGGGCAGGAAAACAACTTCATAGGAGGAGAAATGGAGGGTGTAGACAGAAAGCCTTTCTCTGCAAATGTGGCCCACAAAGCTTCTTTGGGCTCCTCCGGGTGACCCATTTAATCAGCACTCATCCTGACTTGCTCACACAAAGCTTACATGGAAGTTAGACAACAGGTCCCTCCAGGCACCTTTTCATTTTGAACTTAGTAGGATTTGGGGCAGCTGTGCACATTCCCCTTTCAAAGCTGTTTGCCCCTGCAAAAAATTTGGGGCGGACATACTGCTTTGCTTCCAGCTGTGTCTCACAGTTTCCTGCTGATTTCCTGTTAACTTTTTATATGTCAATTTTTTGTCCTGCTGCTGCTGTGCTGCAGTGCAAGAGTGACCCCTCCAGACATCCACAATGCAGTAACACTGGGGAAACATCACAGGGCAACTAAGGAAGCCTAGGGTTTGCCACTGAGTCTTTCCTTTTTTTCAAACATGAGTTTGACCTTTGGGCGAGCATTCAACCCCTGGCCCAAGATATACAGGCCCACTGGTGCAAACTCCTGGGGACCCCGGCACACACAAAATTTTTGCTGTGGGTGCCCAGCTTCCTTTTCAGCTCTGGCTGTGTTCACATGAGCCGCTTACAGCACAGTGAAGTTGCTGTCCCCCTGCTGCCCCCCAATGATGGGCCAAGGATGTCTCTACCATATGAGGAGGTGAACACGTCTTGGCTAGAAACAAATAAAGAACAGCTTAAGGACTCCAGTTGCTGCAAAGCTGGTTTGAGAAATAATGTCAAACAGCAGTATTTTGTAACAAAGTACAGTATACATATGCATTCAGGATAATGGGCTTGTGTGAACACGGATTAAAAACCCAGAACAGTCCATGGAGTGCACAGTAAAACGGGAATGTGAAGACAGCCAGAGCCTCTGAGTTCTGTACATTCTGGGTAGTATATTCCTTCTCATGTTATACTTAGACCATGGGGCCCATTGAGCTCTGCACTACCTACACTGACTGGCAGCCCCTCTCCAGGGTTTCAGGCAGGGGAGCTCTCCCTTTCCTATCTGGAGAGGCCAGGGATTGAACTGGGAACCTTCGGTCTGCAAGCCAGATGCTCTGTGGGCCCCCAGCAGCAGCATCTGCTCTCACTATCGACTTTCAACAGTCTGCTCGTCTTATCTTTCCGCATTCATTCAGCTAGTCCTCAGAAGATGCTGCCCAACACCTGAAGTGCTCAAGGCGCCAAAACCAGGGCCACCCTTCTCTAAGCGCTGAGCCCTTCCCACTCCCTGCTGCCCAGCTGCTCATTACCTGCGGGCCTCAGGAGACAAGGCTGCATTCTCTTCCGTTGCCTCCACCAAACTGAACGAGTTGGAGAGCAGCAGTTTCCCCCCCAGGCTTCTTTCCAGCTCCTCATCCGCACAGGATTGTTCCCTAGAAAGCCACAGCAGCAGCATGAGAATAGGGGCAGCGGGCAGAGGATTGAGTGGGATATGTGGGCTTCATAAGGATCAGTGGAGCAGCTTTGCCTCCGCTGCCAACCTCCAGTCCTGATGGCCTGCTTATTTATTATTACATTTATATCACACCTTTTCTCCAAAGAGCTCAAGGTGGCACACATTGTTCTCCTCCAACAACCCTGTGAGATGGCTAAGCTAAGAGATGGTGGCTGGCCGAAGGTCACCCAGGGAGCTTCATGACCAAGTAGGGATCTGAACTCTGGTCCCCCAGGCCATAGTCCAATACTCTAACCGTTACACCACTGGCTCTCAACTACAGCTTCCATCAGCCCCAGGCTAGCATGGCAATAGCATGCTGATGGGAGTTGTGGTCCAAAACATCCAGACTGGAGGCCTCAGCTTAGGGAAGGCTGAAGCTGGAGAGCCTGGGTGGTGCCATGGTGAGAGTGCTGGAGTGGCCATGGCCAAAGGGGGGGGGGGCTTTTAAATATACCTCAGCACAGGTGATGGAGAACTTGCTCATAGCTGATATAGGCACCCACTTCCTTTAAGCAAAATAACCAAAAAACCTCAACACTCTGTTGGATAAACTGCTATGTAACTGATCCATTTAGTCATATGTGGTGGTGGTGATGCTGTGCTTCTTCTTTTTGGATAAAGGTGTTTCATGAGGCAAGCCTCACTGCAGAACAGACTCTTCCTTGATCCCAAATTGCCCTTTTATCCTGCTCTGTGGCCACCCAAGAGCACCCCATCACCCACACAATGACTGCAGCAAAACTAGCCATTGTCAAGTACAGGAAAACATTGAACGCAAACTTGTTTGGGTCTCAACTTTGGGATTTAATTCTGATAGACAAATTAGTAACCCATGTTTCTAGAAAAATGGATGGGCAAGAAATTTGACACTTTTTATTAAAATTGGTATAAATTTATTAACTGGTATAAAATTGGTATATATTTATTAGAGGGAATTACTTGAGGGGGGTGTTTCTGTTGTGATTCTAGATTCTCAGTTCTCTTTCTCTGCTGTATTAACGTCTGGATGTTTTTTAAAAGTAGTGGGAGAATCCAACTTCAAAATCCCTCTAGCCAAACTGGCTAGCAACTCTGGGCTCCACAGCACAAGATGTGGCTTGGCTCACTATCATGAACCAGCCAGAGCTATTTTCTTAACAGGTGCCACCTTCCGGCTGTGCACATCTTCGACTGTGACACAATGAGCAGACAGTACAGATTACCAACGACAGGATGCGCGGAAAGCAATGCTGCCAAGCTGCAACCCAGAAATATGCTCTGCAGCTGTTAACTCCCCAGTGAAGCAAGAAGAGGCTGCAGTTCTGCCCACCCTTTCTTCACCTAGTCCTGCTCCATCAGCTCTCTTCTGCCACCTGCTGCAAGGAGCAGGGCTCCAGGTGCACTGCAAAGCAGACCAGGGGGTGGAAGCATGGCAGAAATCATGGGGGAGAAAGCTATCAGTGGCTACTAGCCGTGGAGGCTGCTAAGCTCTGCCTTCACATTCAGGAGTAATGCTTCAGAATACAAGATGCTGGAAACCAGAGGAGGGAGAGGCATCTGGCTGGCCACAGTGATGACAGGAACTTGCAGATGCAATCTCAGAGCCTCTGAATATAATATGTGAGACTTCTTGGAGAACATGTGAGGTCCCTGTGGACTTGAGATGAGCAAATGTTGTCCCCATCTTCAAAGTGGGGGGAGAGGGCCCAGGCAACTACCGGTCAGTCTGGTTGACGTCCATACCAGGAAAAGGCCTAGAACAGATAATTAAACAGTCGGTCTGTGAGCAATTAGAAAAAGATGCTGTGATTAGTAAGCGCCAGCATGGGTTTCTTAAAAGCAAGGCATGCAAGACTAATTTTATTTCTTTTTTTGATAAGAGTTACAAGCTTGATGGACTAGGGGAATGCTGTGGATGTAATGTATCTTGGTTTCAATAAGGCTTTCAACCAAGTCTCCCATGATTGTCTTTCAGAGAAGCTGGAAAATGTGGACTGGATGGTTACTCTTAAGTGGATTTGTAGCTTGATGACTGACCAAACCCAAAGAGTGCTCATTAATGGTTCTTTGTCATCCTGGGAAAAAGTGACAAGTGGGGTGCCACAGGGAGCCACCCAGCCGTTCAACATCTGTATAAACAACTTGGATGAAGGTGTTGAGGGATGCTCATCAAATCTGCAGATAACACCAAACTGGGAGACGTAGCCAATGCCACTGAAGACAGAACTGAGATTCAAGAGGACCTCAACAGATTGGAGAACTTGGCCCAAACTAACAAAATAAATTTCAATAGGGGCAAATGTGAGGTTCTGCACTTAGGCAGGAAGAACCAGATGCCCAAAGATAGGATGGGGGACACTAGCAGTACCTGTGAAAAGGATCTAGGGGTCTTAGTGGACCACAAGCTTAACATGAGTCAACAGTGTGATGCAGGAGCAAAAAATAAAAAATAAAAATGCTCATGCTATTCTAGGCTGCATTAACAGAAGTCTAGTGTCCAGATCAAGGGAAGTAATAGCACCGCTCTATTCTGCCTTGGTCAGAGCACACCTGGAATACAACTGCGTCCAGTTCTGGGCACCACAGTTTAAGATGTTGACAAACATGTGCAGAGGAAGGTCTGGAAACCAAGCCTTATGAGGAACGGTTGAAGGAGCTTGGTATGTTGAGCCCGGAAAAGAGGAGACTGAGAGGAGATATGAGAGCCATCTTCAAATATCTCAAGGGCTGTCACATGGAAGAGAGTGCAAGCTTGTTTTCTCCTGCTCTGGAGGGTAGGACTCAAACCAAGAAAGAAGATTCCAACTAAACATCAGGAAGAACTTTCTGACAGTAGGAGCTGTTCAACAGTGGGACAGTCTCAAGAGGTTGGAGGTTCTTAAGCCAAGGCTAGGCGGACACCAGTCAGGGATTCTCTGTCTGTGATTCCCACATTGCAGGGGGTGGGCTAGATCAGTGTTTCCCAAACTTTTTTGGGCAACGGCACACCTGTTTACTGAAAAAAAATCTCACGGCACACCACCATTAAAGCCCCGCCCCGTGACGTCAGCGCGCAGCGTCACGCCGGGAGGGACGCACGAAAGTGAAAGTTTTCAATTTTTTTCCCCTCCCCCTTGCCAGGGAACCTCCAAGCTTTGGGGGTGGGGGGGGAGGAGGCAGCAAAGCGAGGCAGGAAGGAGAGCACGGCTTGGCTGAGTGAGCTTTGGCAGGGGCAGGGAATGAGAGCCGCGAGGCGGGCGCTGCGGACGGAGGCGCTGCCCGCCGAGCTCGCAGCTCGCCCGTCGAAGCCTGCACGATCACCCGCCGCGGGGAGCCGGGGGCGGCGGCGCGGTTGCCGGGCAGCGGCGGGGGTGGTGGTGGCGGTGGCTGCTTGCCGCCCTCCTGGGCGGAGGCGGGCACGGTGGGCACCGGCACGGCCAAGGGCCCCTGCTTGGTGCCGTCGGATGTGGGAGCTCGCTCGCTCGCCGCCCCGCGTGTGCTCGCCGAGCATGCGCAGGCCCAGTAGCGAGCGGCGATAGGATGCAGCGAGCGGCAATGGGGCTAGCCGGAGAACAGAGGGCGAGCCCCCTCCGCTCCGGCCCTAAAATGGGCAAGCCACGCCCCCTCCAGCCAGCCGATTGGCTGGCCAGGAGGCGTGGCCGGATGGGATTCCCCTGCTCTCGCGGGGGCTGAGATGGGATTCCCCGCTCACGTGGGGGCGGATGGGATTCCCCGCTCACGTGGGGAAGGGCGTGATGCCCGCAACCCCACCTCCTGGGGCAGGCCCAGTAGCGAGCGGATGCGCAGGCCCAGTAGCGAGCGGCGATGGGATGTGGGAGCTCGCTCGCTCGCCGCAACCGCGTGTGCTCGCCGCCGCCGCCCCGCCTCTCACCGCCCGACTCGCCCGCCTCCACGGAACACAAGGCAAAGTTCCACGGCACACTAGTGTGCCGCGGAACACCGGTTGGGAAACACTGGGCTAGATGATCCTTGGTGTCCCTTCCAACTCTACAATTCTAGGATTTTAGGATGCTGGACTAGATGGGCCAGTGCCCTGATCCAACAGGGTCTTCTTATGTTCTTGACTGAGTCTTGAGACACCAAGACCGTAGGGGAGCCTGTGGCCCTACGGATGTTGCTGGACTCCCATCATCCTCTGCCACCATGGCCAGCAGACAGGGATGGTGGGAGATGTAGTCCAGCAACACCTGAAAGGCCACACATTCCCCAATCTGACTTAGAGGAATATGGATGTTATCTAGGCTGCAACAACCTGGAAATCCCAGTGGAAGGTTTGGCCAGTGCATGGAGAAGGGTGTGCATATAGAACAAGAGTGGGGAAAGGCAAGCTGGGATCTGCTTTTGTAGAGCTGAGTGACTGGCCAGGATTTCTCCCTCCCAATTGTTTAACAGTGGCAGCAACTGGAGGGGGGGAAACCTCCTTCACTCCCTAAGGTTGCTAAAAAAGAATGCTTGGGTGAAAAAAATGAGTGGCCTTTTTCATGAAAGAAATTGTGAGTTTGATCCTGGTACTGAATAAAAATTCCTGAGCTGAACATGTGTTCAGAGGAACCCAGTTCATTTACTGTTATTTCAATTTCTTACCCATCCTTCACCACAAGGCCACAGAGCAGGTTATAAACAATACAAAAATGTAATAAGTCAGTTTAAACCATTTGAAATCAGAAGAGCAGGGCAGAAAGTTTCATCTTCAGCATGCACCTCTGTGGGGATGGAGTTCCAAAAGTGAGGGGCTGCCCCAGAGAATGCCCTCTTCCAAGCTACCAATCCCGATGTTAGCATTTCACTCCTCCCCATACGTCTTCTTCACCCCATACTTCTGAGGGGGGGGGCAGAATTCTATCAAGAAACACCCAATAAGGTCTGTATGGGTGGAGGTGCTCTTTCAGAAATTTGGGGCCTAAAGGCTAGGCTATGTCCACCCAGCTGAGCCTTGAGGTTCTGGGTAAAAACCAAGGAGATCCTGAAAGCCAGAAGCCCAGCCACCTTTGGTTTATATCACAGCCTCGAATGATAGGATTCCATAAAGTTACAATAAAAGCAGCACTGAAACAGAAAAGCTCTCTGGCAGCTCTCCTGGGGCTCTCCAGAGATGGATGCTTCATGGAACCACCCACAGCAAGTGGGCTCTGAGATGTGCCAAGCCCAGTCTCTTCCTGTGTCCTGACGGCAGGGCCCCTCTCATTGGGCATTCCTGATGACTTGTCCTCACGATGGTATTGGGGTGCTAGACATGATTCCCCTTTCCCAGTAAAATTACCTGAGTACATGACTTTATTGGGGCAATTATACACAATCCCACTTTCAACTGCACCTGCAGAAATTTTGGGACGGACCTACTGCTTCTTGTCCACTCAGTCCATGTCCTGTAACTTTCTGCTGAAATTCTGTCCCTTTTCATACCTCAGGTGTCCCAGTTTTTTTGCCCCGTCTCTGTTCTGCTACAGCCCAGGAGCCCCCCGCCCCCAATGTGGCAATAAGGGGGATAACATGGGGGGAGCAGAATGATGTGTGGGTGGGTCCACTGCAGAGGACACACCAATAAACCTGAATGGAGGGGCCCACACAGCAATGAACACATGGCATGCGCAGGTTGCTTCAAGGTGTAGCTGCAAGACACAACATGCACCAGTGGAGTTCCATCCCTGGGTGAGCCTTACCTTTTCTCAAGGAACTTGTCAAGGCTGCTGAGATAACCGTCTGGCTCTGAAGAAAGGAGCTGGATGCACAGGTGGAGGAGAAATGTGTCATTTTAGCAGACGAGGACAGAGCAGTGCTGCACAACTACTAAACAAGGCTGGTGTTGGCACCTGGCATTCTGGGGCAGCTGCCAAGGACCCAGTAGGGACACACACATGACATGTGGCAGCAACGGGATCTCAATGCTGCCCATGCAGGCCACCATTTTTGCCCCGGAGCAATGCTACATCGAAAGCATTGTAGATAATTTAAACGGCAGGCAGATTGCATCATAAAAAGCAGTACTGTGTCCACTGCTGCCACCAGGGGGCTCCATCAACATAGGAGGGGGGGGTCCACCAGAGAGCATTTACTGTATTTTTCGCTCTATAAGAAGCACCAGACCACAAGACGCACCTAGTTTTTGGAGGAGGAAAACAAGAAAAAAAATATTCTGAATCTCAGAAGCCAGAAGAGCAAGAGGGATCGCTGCACAGTGAAAGCAAGCAATCCCTCTTGCCGTTCTGGCTTCTGGGATAGCTGCGCAGCCTGCATTCGCTCCGTAAGACGCACACACATTTCCCCTTTTTAGGAGGGGAAAAGTGAGTCTTATAGAGCAAAAAATACGGGAACTACCTCTCCCTTTAAATTGAGAATTGGCCCGGCCACACAACCCATGGGCTGTGCGTTATTCTCCCTGCCTTCAGCTTTGCAGTCTCTCTTTGTGCATTTCTATGGGGCGTAGTCTGCATCAGACACGCGGCCTGCTGCCCTTGACGGGGTCCAGGGACCTTGTGGGGTGCTACCTCTCTGAAGTCACACTGGTAAGGAAGATGGGCTACTGAACCAAACTAAGCCAACTCTACGCCATTACATTCCAAACCTCTAGTCCACAGAGTGTTACCTACTGTGTAAAGGTCCTCAGAGCCCGGATCTGAACTGCTCATCTGCAGGAGGTCTCCAAGAGACACAAGGTCATCAGTGTCTTCATCCATGTCTGAGCCTACAGCCAGTCTCCTTGGGTCACCTGAAAGCTCATCTGGGGAGGCTGAGATGCTGGAGGATGTCGTCGGGAAATGGGCAGGGGTGGGAAAAGAGGAATGCTCTGGGCCTGGGTCTTCCTCTTGGTCTGAATCGTAGGGCAGCCTCACTGGGTCCCCAGCAAGCTCACTGGAGGATGTCGAGGCACTGCTTCTAAGGTAGGTGGCAGGTGGTGTGGCCAATGGATGGCTAGGAGAGGGTAAGAAAGGAGACTCCAGCTCTAAGGCCCTCTGGGTGCTTGTCTGGGTTTGGCCCTCAAGCGGGGCTCCTTCCAGCTGCTCACTTGCCATGTGAAAGACACTGGCCATGGGGAGCACGGGACCAACTCTCTCTGCCTCCTGAAGAGTTGCATTCTTTGGCTGCAGGACCACAGGCTCTTCTAGGAACTGTGGGTGGTCCCCAGCGGGGGAAGAGGCCTTGGCTGTGGACTCCATCATGTGCAGCTCAGCAGGCTCTTGGGTGATATCAGGCATCTCCTCCGAGCTTTGGTACTCAGATGCGGGGTCTGGGGCAGGGCTCAAGGGCAGCAGTTCGTCATTGTACAGGAATTCAATCCGGGGTGGGGACCAGTCTGGAGGGAACATGGCGTCCTCTTGATCTTCCTCCAGCGGAGAGTCTGGGTTGCCCCACAGGCTGGAGCTGTGGCTGCTGTGGGATGCCTCTTCCTGGGGATGTGCAGAGGGAAACAAATTAGGGAGGCCGTGCTCATACAAAGAGAGGCCTTGCTGCCCCGCATTGTTGCTGCAGCTGCCCCCAGGCCCCTTCTTCTGTCCCTGGCTGGGAGCTCCCAAGAAGCCTGTGTCTCTCTTGGACAAAAAGCGGGCTGCTGATGACCTGCATTTATGGGACCTTTTTTGCATCTGCCGCAAAGCGGCCTGGGGCTCTGCCGAAGACAGGGAGAAAGAGAGAGAGAGAGAGAGAGGAGTTAATGCTCTGGCAATTAGCATGCTACAATGCCACAGGGGAACAAACAAACAAAAGGCGCAATGGGCAGGGAGGACTGAGCACAGAATTCAACTTTCTAAGAATTTCGTGTTTATTTTGGTGTGTGTGTATGTGTGTTTAGAATTTGGCCCTAAAGGCTGCAAATATATAACTGAAAGTGCCTGGACAGTGTCAGATAAGAAGTCAGAAGCCACCGGAGGAGTGGATGGATAAGATTTATGTGGCCAAAGGGCAGGACTTCTGTGCCCTGCTAAGTTCCTTGCCCCTTCACAAAGCAAGGCTCTGGTAGACGTTGGGTTAATGCTGACACAGGACCTTGAGGGGTTTGCATCAGCCCAGGATGCAAACAGACCCCACCTGTTACGTGAAGGTCTCAAAGAACCTTCCTAAAGATTAGAAACAGAACTGTAGAGATGCAAGAGACCCCAGGGGTCATCTAGTCCAACCCTTTGCAATGCAGGAATCGCAGCTCAAGAATCCCTGACAGACGGCCAATCAAACTGTTAAAAAACTTCCAAGGAAGGAGAGTCCACCACCTTTAGAGGAAGCCTGATTCACAGTCAAACAGCTCTTAGCGTCAGAAAGTTCTTCCTAATGTTTAGCTGGAATATTCAGCGCTCCTGAGTCAAGATCCAACCCCTTAACTAAGTTGTTTCGGCTTCAGACCTATACACATTTGTACTGATGGAGGCCAGTTGTAAGAAGTTTCAGAAATGCTACTATATTGTTCCACTAGACTGGTGCTTCTAAGGGCAGGCGCATCTTTTGAGAGAAGGGGCTTTCTGACCTGTGAAAAATACAACTTTCATTTAGTGAAATACTCCTGGGATTAAGTAACATTTTCAAGGGGAAAGCGCCCTCTGCTGACTCCTGCAGTCCAAGAAGATAAGCGTTTCCCTTGGTGTTGCTTCCCTCCACTGCCATGCAGACGTTTACTTCGCAAACCAGACTGGTGGGCTTATTCTGCAACATGTGCTTGATGCAATAACAGTGCATGACTGGTGGATTCATCCTGAACTGTCCACACATATCACTCCACTCCATTCTGCCAGCCTTCCCCAATCCTATTGCATTATTACCAACGGGGGGGGGGGGGTTGCACTGACTGGAAACAAATAATAATAATAATAAATTTTTATTTATACCCTGCCCTCCCCAGCCAAGACCGGGCTCAGGGCGGCTAACAACCAATAATAAAAACAAGTTGATTAAAATACAATTTTAAAAAGATTAAAATCCAACATTAAAACATTAGGATGCAGCCTCTTCACAGGAGGTGAAAGGAAAAAGAAAGAGAGGGAGGGAATCAAATTGGCTCCAAGCCAAAGGCCAGGCGGAACAACTCATCCTGGAGAAGAGTGACTAGTGGGGTGCCACAGGGTTCTGTCTTGGGCCCGGTCTTATTCAACATCTTTATCAACGACTTGGATGATGGACTCAAAGGCATCCTGATCAAATTTGCAGATGACACCAAACTGGGAGGGGTGGCTAACACCCGAGAGGACAGGATCACACTTCAAAACGACCTTGACAGATTAGAGAACTGGGCCAAAACAAACAAGATGAACTTTAACAGGGAGAAATGTAAAGTATTGCACTTGGGCAAAAAAAATGAGAGGCACAAATACAAGATGGGTGACACCTGGCTTGAGAGCAGTACATGTGAAAAGGATCTAGGAGTCTTGGTTGACCACAAACTTGACATGAGCCAACAGTGTGACGCGGCAGCTAAAAAAGCCAATGCAATTCTGGGCTGCATCAATAGGAGTATAGCATCTAGATCAAGGGAAGTAATAGTGCCATTGTATTCTGCTCTGGTCAGACCTCACCTGGAGTACTGTGTCCAGTTCTGGGCACCACAGTTCAAGAAGGACACTGACAAACTGGAACGTGTCCAGAGGAGGGCAACCAAAATGGTCAAAGGCCTGGAAACGATGTCTTATGAGGAACGGCTAAGGGAGCTGGGCATGTTTAGCCTGGAGAAGAGGAGGTTAAGGGTTTTTTTTTTCTTTCTTCTATTTTTAATATTTTTAATTTTTAATTTTTTGTATTTTTCTTTTCTTTTCTTGTCTTTTTTCTTGGAAAATCTTAATAAATATCTTATTAAAAAAAAGGAGGTTAAGGGGTGATATGATAGCCATGTTCAAATATATAAAAGAATGTCATATAGAGGAGGGAGAAAGGTTGTTTTCTGCTGCTCCAGAGAAGCGGACACGGAGCAATGGATCCAAACTACAAGAAAGAAGATTCCACCTAAACATTAGGAAGAACTTCCTGACAGTAAGAGCTGTTCGGCAGTGGAATTTGCTGCCAAGGAGTGTGGTGGAGTCTCCTTCTTTAGAGGTCTTTAAGCAGAGGCTTGACAACCATATGACAGGAGTGCTCTGATGGTGTTTCCTGCTTGGCAGGGGGCTGGACTCGATGGCCCTTGTGGTCTATTCCAACTCTATGATTCTATGATTCTATGAACTCAGTCTTACAGGCCCTGCAGAAAGAAATCAGATCCTGCAGGGCCCTGGTCTCATGAGACAGAGCGTTCTACCAGGCCGAGCCAGTGTTGAGAAGGCCCTGGCTCTGGTTGAGGCTAATCTGACTTCCTTAGGGCCCGGGACCTCTAGGGTGTTGCTATTTATGGACCTTGAGGCTCTCCATGGGGCATACCGGGAGAGACGGTCCCGTAGGTATGAGGGTCCTAGGCTTTAAAGGTCAAAATCAACACCTTAAATCTGACCCTATACTCCACCGGGAGCCAGTGCAGCTGGAAAAGCACTGGGTGAATATGCTCCCATGGCAGAGACCCCGTGAGGAGCCTCGCTGCAGCATTCTGCACCCGCTGGAGTTTCTGGGACAGCTTCAAGGGCAGCCCCACGTAGAGCGAATTACAGTAGTCAAGCCTGGAGGTGACCATCGCATGGATCACTGTGGCCAGGTCAGGGCGGGAAAGGTAAGGGACCAACTGCTTGATGGGGCAAAGGTGGAAAAATGTCGCTATGTCTGCCCCCAAAACTTGAACATGGGATTGCATATAATTGTCCCAATACCATCTTGAGCACAAATAATTTTATTGTGAATGGACAATATAAAGGACATTTGAAGGGGCCCCACTGTTGACCACATCAAAACAGCTGCACTACCAGTTTCACGTGCTTTAAATATCACTATTCTGTAGGCTGCGTTCCAAGAGGATGTGGTTTGATTCTGTAGACTGCATTCCAAGAGGATGTGGTTTAGCATACAAAGTGCTTGAGATTACAAATTTTACCACTGTAATCCTCAAATCTATGGGTAAGGAACTGCAGGCCCCCAGCATGGACAGCTCTAAAAGGAGATTAGGCAAACGCAGCAGGGAGATAAATCTCTCAAAGGGCACCAAGATCAGGAGAGCCCTGCTGCCCCAGGTCCTGCTGGCAGGCTTCTCACAGGCATCTGGTTGTCCATTGTGGGAAGCAGAAGGGAAGACAAGACAGACAAGACAGGCCTTTGGTCTGGTCCAGCAGGGCTTTTCTTATGTCCTAAAATAAATTCTACCCTCCATATTATGGGTGGGGGCTGAGAATGAAAGACGAGCAAGGTGAGGACCCCCAGGATTAGGGGCAGTTGGTGCAGTCAAGGATAACGGAGTGAGCGCCTCCCCCCACCTTGCTTAGAATGTCTTAGGAAAGGAGAAGGACCTGCTTGGGGTGTCCTTGCCACCCAAAGTACAACCAGAGGCTGCTCAGACGAGGGCTTTATCTGTGGTGGGACTCACAGCTTCATGGCTCTTCAACACATTTAATTTAATTTTATTTACATCTCACATTTCCCTGTAAGGAGCTCAAGGTGGCAGACATGGCTTTCCCCCTCCTCATCTGTATTCTCACAACAAACCTGTGAGGCAGTGACTGTCCCAGGGTCACTCAGCAAGCATAATAGCTGAGTGGGGATTTGAACCCTGGTCTCCCAGCTCCTAGTCCAACAGTACAACCACTGCATTACCCTGGCCTTACATTGTGCATCAAAACTTTCCCTTTCAACAGAGCCTGGGACTGCCAGACTGGATGTGGATCTTTTTCTGCTGGCTGGATTTATTTTTAAAGCCAATGCAAAACACTTTTTGAATTGTTGGGGCATTACATTTTGAGAAAGAAATTGAGTTACGCCTGCATTTATCAGACGTATGATCCACTCCTCCCTTTCAACTATCTCCATGGGATCACAACCCACAGCAGAGATTGGATGGCCATCTGCCATGGATGCTTTAGCTGAGATCCTACAAAAAAGCAAGAACATTGCAATAAATAGCAAGTGCTAAATACACATTCATGAGCCACTTGGTGGCGATAGCATAAACCTCTGCAGAAATTCTGTGAAAGCAAATCTGGAAGCAACCCCAGAATGAGGAGCTGACGTGGACTGGATGGTTTCATAAGACAGTGTTTCCTAGCTGGCCTGTTGGGGGGAACCCCTGATCCACCAAGCCTAGTCTGACTGAGGGGCCAGAGCACTGAAGAACCACTCAGGTGAACTCCCCTGCCACCAACCATTTATGAGAATCCCTAAACCCTCCTTCATCACACTGACAGAAAAAGGATGGCCAACTACGGCCATTGTTGTGCTTTTAGCATTGCCTCTGGAAAAGCAAAGGGTATCCATTAATTGCCCTGGTGTAAGGCCCAGCAAAGCAGAGGTGTCTTTGAAGCAGGACCTTAGGGGATTCCCCTGCCAGAAGCAATCCCTTTGCACTGCCAAAGTCACTGCTGACATTTTGGATCAAGGGTGGGAAGAAGGTAGATCAAAATATAATGGTGGATCTCTGAATGATTTGCAGCAGATCAACATGACTCAGGGGCAATGGAAAAGAAATCCAACTTAAACCAGGCTGCTGAAATGTAGAGAGCTAAGGGGGGGGGGGACTGTGTGAGCTCAGTTCATTCCCAGTCCTGAAGACCTACCTCTCAGCTCAGAGGCTCCCTGCTCTTTCATTCAAACTGGGTGCCTTTTGCACCTGGTTCTCCTTGATAAATCTCAGGGCTCTAGTGAAAAGTGAAGCGTAGATCCAACAAGCCTTAAGTCTTGCCCACCCCTGTTTTAAAATATTACCTTTGATATAGGAGAGGGATTTGCCACGTTTGGCTTCACCAGCTCTTGAGCGCCTGCGGCCGTCTTGCTGTAGGACAAAAGGGACATCCGTTCAAGGTGTGTCATTATCCAAAGGAAGCCTCTCTGCAGCAGCTTCATCAGCGCTTTCTGTGGCTTTTGCACTACTGTCTTGTGTGTGCAGTTTGGCTGTCTGTGCTGGGGACAAAACTGATAGGACCCAATTCATGCTTACAGAGATCTCATGGTAATGCAGGGTGCTTGGGAATTAGAATTTGTACTGGGACATTTGTGGCACGATGTACAGCGGTACCTCTAGTTACGAACTTAATTCGTTCCAGAGGTCCATTCTTAACCTGAAACTGTTCTAAACTAGAGGCGTACTTTCGCTAATGGGGCCTCTAGCTGCTGCTGCGCCACCGACACACAATTTCCGTTCTCATCCTGGGGCAAAGTTCTCAACTTGAGGTAACTCTTCCAGGTTAGCGGAGTTTGTAACCTGAGGCCTTTGTAACTCGAGGTATCTACCAGCCGAGGATGACCAAGGGTTCTTGGGAGGTCTCCCTCCCAAGGAAAACATCTAGGGAAAGAGCAGCCTGATCCCATCTAGGCAACCGCAACAGCTGCAGGGAGTTTGCTTTCTCCTCCCCACACTCTCCAGAAAGACCTCTGCTGCGACTATTAGTTGCTGTTGCCACGTAGCTGCAGAGAGCTGGGGAAGGGAAATGGCTGGCTCCTATCACAAGCCGAAGAAGGACTGGCTCCTATCGCAAGCTGCTGGGTAGCCCCTTCACCTCCATCACAGCAAGACCACCAGCAAGTAAAGAACATTGCGGTTCCAGCAGGATGGACTCTCTGCATCCTAGCATTGCCAAACGGATCCCTCCCCCTCTACCATTTCTCTACATGGAAAGCTGCCTTCCACAGGGTTGGATCCTTGGTCCATCTGCTCAGTAACAAGCTTGGTATTGTCCACACTGACTGGCAGAGGTTTTCTAGCATTATAAACAAGGAAGGTTCCCAGCCTTACCTGCAGATACTAAGGACTGAAGCTGGGACCGTCTGCCACTGAGCAGTGCCTCTTCCCTTTGCAGGGATGGGAGAGACTCTTGCCGGAGGCTTCCAAGAGGCATTGGGCAAGATGGTCTTCTGCCCTCTCAGAGTCTAAGCCTAAGGGCAGGACATGTGCCTTTCGGACACTCTAAAAATAATACTTATTTGCACATATATCTATTTGGACTGACAACAAAGGCAACAGTACACGCCAGCCCCAGGAGTCAATCCATGAGCACACTCCTCCCTCCCAAGCCCCAAATTCTAGCTTCGCGTTTGGCCAGGGATTACTCACCCTCTTGTGTGGTGCTTCCTGGGAGCCATCAGTGAGCATCAAGGGAGCAGAAGAAGGAGGCGGCATGGAGAAGGGCCGGCCGATTTTCAGATTCTTGGACCTCCGGAGCTGCTGGTACTCCTCCAGGCTGGACTGGAATGTAAAGCTGAAGAGGCCTGCTTTGGGCCTCCTTGAAGATGACAAGGGGATCTGGTACCACCGAAGGTCCTGCCAGGGGTTGGGGTTAAACAGCTCCATGCTGTAGGATGGCTGTTTTGGGTGGGGAAGTGAAGTGACTCTGACGGTGTCCTCCTGGGAAGGTGGGTTAGGGCACATCTGCTCTGATGCATCCCTGGATGTCCCCTGCGGGTCACTGGATGAAGAGGAGCCTCCAGGGCTTTGCTTCCCTGCCTTCTTCATGGCTAACTCTGCTGATGTCTCCTCCAGCTTGTTCTGCCTGCTCTCTGGAGTTTCTTAAAGGAATGAGTTCAGCAGCTGGGGAAAGCAGCCTTATCTCCTGCTTTCTGGAAGGCCTCCAGCCACCTGGAGTGAGGGAAAGGGAGGCAAACAATATTTATCTTCTTGCTACAAAGAATAAATCCCACCCCACCCCCAATTTGGTGGCTTGTTGCAGTCATCATCTGTCTGGTGCTTAAGCTACTTTATTTTATTTATTAAAGCATTTTTTGCCACTCATTAACAATACTATTGATTGGGATAACTTGGTGAATGACTTATTGAAACCCTTTCGGTATCCAGTGAAACCTTGGTTAGAGAAGAGACATTGCCTGTCACAATCACACAGAGATAAATGCTTGCAGAGAAGAAAATAGTAAAGTTGTTTATTGCAGGAAATACATAACTGAAACTAGAACTAGAAACTTCTATCCAGCTAGTCCAGAGAAGAACAAGAAAGCCACGCTTGCTCCTTTGTTCTCTCATAGAAGAGTTAAAGATGACTTCTCATCTTGAAGTCTGAGATAGAAGTCTGAGGAGGAAGTGGTAAACAGGATGCAACCCAAGACATGTCAGTCTAAGCAAGAAGGAGATAGAGAAGTCAGCTGATGGGTGAAAGGGGCAGGGATAGTATAGGAATGTGGGTGCCTACCCTCTCTTGTCTTAACTCCTCCAAGCTGAGTTGCACCCAAACTCCCAACACGCCAGATGAATCCCAGGAGCAACAGCCAGCATGGCCAGGGGTCAGGGGTGATGAGAACGGCAGTCCAGCCAATCTGGAGGCCTACAGGCTTCCCCACCCCAATGTGGGCGACTTGTTTTATTCTTGTACCTACAGCACAAATAAAAGTTTTCGCTCTTGTGAATCACTCAGGAAGACAGAATAGACTATTCCTCATTGCAGGCATCTCCAGAGGTCATTTTATTGCTCATTCATGCTGCTTTGTGCTCATGATGCTATTGGGACAGTCATACGTGATCCCGCTTTCAATACTATTTGTGTCTGCAAAGTTTGGGGGCGGTCATCCTGCTTGTTTCCAATCAGTGCATGTCCTTTAACTTTCTGCTGAAATCCCTTAACTTTTCATAACCCAAATGTTGGGGGTGGGCTGTCCCACTTATGTTGCACTATAGCCTCTCTCAGCAGCAGTAATGTGGCAGCACTAAGGAAACATTGCAGAATAAATCCATCACTAATGTACTGTGATCATGTCAGCAAGAACACGCTGCAGAATACACCTCAATGAAACACCTGTCTGGAGGGGCTGAGGACTCTAACTCCAGGATCCTGCATTGCAGGGGTTGGACTAGCTAACCCTTTGGGCTCCTTCCCACTCTACCATTATACGATTCTGTGACAGTTGCATTACAGGAAGCAGCACACAAGGACTTTCAGAACACACTGTGGCAGAACGCCAGTCTGGAGGGGGCCTGCTTCTCACTCATGTGCATTAGACTTGAATGACCAGAATACAGTGGCAGCAGGGCTGAAAGCCTCCACCACCTCATTGCAAAGCCTTCCATCAAAAAATGATCATGGCAATGCGAGAAGAAAAAAGTTACCATAGGGCGGTTATTTTACCGCACACAGCCTCCGCTTTTTGAAAGTTGAGTCTGTGAGTCTTATCTACACGCAAGAAGCAGCAACAATTGCTTGTTGCTCTTAAAAAGTCCCAAGGTCTTTCACTCTGCACCACTGTAGGATTTTGTACTGACAGCTTAAAATGTGGCTCCAGCATCTCTCAGCAAGGTCAGAGCCCTACTGTTCCAAAGCATTCATTTCTGGGGTCCTTGAGAATCCACCCACCATTGGAGCCAGGCAGTGACAGATCAGGCAAGTTCGCAAATTTTTAAAGATTTATTAAGGAACAAATATGTGAAAACAGAGGGCTTTCAGATGATAACTTGCTGGTGTAGGACTAGAACAGTGGTTACAAAACTTTTTTGAGCCATCATGCCCTTAGTTCCATAAACTCACCCCCAGTGCCCCCGCCACCCTGTTCTAGAACAAGCATTTTTGGAACAACAATTTGCACAACCCACCAAGGAAGGTAACACAATAGAATTCAAACCAGTAGCAATTAATTGCACATTTGTTCAAACTATTCAGTTTAATTAAGTTGACAAAAGGGATGAACTTGATCCACAGATACCAGTTTTTCAAAGTCTGGTGCTCCTTTACACCTCCAGCACCCGCCCATGGTCCCCCTTGCCTCTTAGCTCCCCCAAGGTAAATCCTCCAGGGGGCACTACCACTCGTTTTGGGAACCACTGGAAGAGAACAACATATGTGTGTTGATATTTTATGTGTGTGATATATCATGCTCTGAGTAACTATAGGTAGGAAGAGGGTTACTATAGGGGCTAACTCAGAATCATGGCTAAAAGCAGTGGCATCTAGCACAAAGCAGCAGCAGCAGGAAGAGGAGGAGGTGGTGGTGGGTGGTGGTGGTACTTAGAGGCCACAGCATTCAAGATCCAGTATCTTTGCACCTTTTCTGCACCTCACCAAGTACTTTGGTACTACAAGCAGGCAGGTCGTTGCCAATGCATCGCAACCCTGGAAGGCAGCGGGCATTCAGGGATGAGGCCACCTTGCGATAGCGGCGTTTTGCTTTGCCGCAGCTTGACCGTGGGAACTGCACCGCCTTGGGAGGCAGGCGTGGGAGAGGAAGGTTGATCCCAGCGAAGGATGCAAGAAGGAAGACCTCGAAAAAGAGGGGAGGAAAAGGACCCCGAGAACTGGGAAGGGGCTGCACTCGGAGGGAGGCTGCACCCCGCTCTCTACCTGCGAAAAAACTCCTCCGGCCGCTTCTGCCGCCGCCCAACTCCCACCTGCTTCGGCCCGATTCAAAAATCAGCCCGAACGCTCCATCCCTCGGTCGCCCGGGGCGCCAGGCGGCAGCCAAGGACAGCCAATCAGCAAGCGGGGATCCCAAGCCAGCCACGTGGTCGCCTCGAGGGCTCGGGAGGGAGAAGGGGTCCTTTCCGCGCGCGCAGCCCGATCCTAAGCTTACAGGCACCCCACCCCTCCGGAATGCGGGGAACTGTGGTTTAAGGGTACTGCGCATTGTAGGCCCTGAGGGGTAGACCATGGTTCCCAGGATTCTTTCCGTTGCAGGAAGGGGTGCTTTAAATTGCCTGGAGCGGATTCATGAGATGCGGCTCCAAGATGCAACCTCCACCTGCTAAAACACTGCATGGTTTGCGTGGGAGGGGGTGGGGGTGCATCAAGCCGCAGTCCGTGGGGCATCCAGTGGAGATACACGTCCTTCTGTGGCTGCTTTCTTGCTGAGTGAGAAAAGCAAGCATCATGCCTTTGTTGGTTAAGGGATTGGATGTTGTTGGAGAATAAAGACCTTTTGGATCTGGAAGGATTTGGCAACAGATTCAGATAGCACGCATATCTTTGGTATGATAAAGTAAAAGTTCATAAAGGATTTGGAAACCACATACAGTGGTGTCTCGGATTGTGAACGGGATCCATTCTGGAGCCCCGTTTGCAACATGAGCAGAATGCAGTCTGCGAGTCCGCGGGTCGCGATTCACTGCCTCTGCGCGTGACGTCATTTTGCGCGTCTGTGCATGCGCGAGTGGCGAAACCCGGAAGTAACCCTTTCTGGTACTTCCTGGGTCGCCGCGGGACGCAACCTGAAAACGCTCAACCTGAAGCAAACGTAACATGAGGTATGACTGTATTTCAAAAGTCATTGTATGAGGTGTGGGACAGATATAAAAATCTATTACAATGCAAGACACCATGGTGGCTTTCGCCTCTTGAGGCAATGAGTGTAAAAAAGATAAACATGGGTAAAAATTGGGCCACCTATGAGCAATTAGTAACAGAGATGGAGAACCAATGGAAGCTAAAACCATATGAAGATGTAAAAGGTTTGGTGAATGATTGGTTGCATTATCTTCAAGTCAACAAAATGTTTAAAGAGGATAAAAAGAAAAAATGGATTTGGATATACAAAATCAAATTTGAATTGGAGTTATTAAATAATAGATTTAAAATATTATCTAAAATGTACAAATTATTATTGGAATGGCATCTGAAAGATGAGGAAGTTCAATCGGTTATGACTCATTGGGCTAAAGATGTTGGTCACAATATACAAATAGATTGGGCGAGACTGTGGAAAGAGGGAATAAAATTTACTGCTTGCAGTGCACTGAAAGAAAATATTATGAAAATGATGTACAACACTAGTGAAATTAGCTGAAATGTATAAAACAGACAATAAATGTTAGAAATGTAAAGAAAAGGAGGGTACTTTCTATCATATCATATGTGGTGGGAATGTAAGAAAGTGAAAGACTTCTGGGAAATGATTTCTAACGAAATGAAAAAAATGTTGAAATATACATTTGTTAAAAAACCAGAAGCCTTTCTACTGCGTATTGTAGGTACAAAAATTCATAAAAAGATTAAAAAAACCTGTTTTTATATGCGACAACTGCAGCAAGGACTCTATTAGCCCAAGGATGGAAGCAAGAAGAAATACCAATTAAAGAAGAAATACCAATTAAAGAAGAGTGGCAAGAGAAACTGATGAACTATGCTGAGAAGGCAAGACTAACTGGGAAAATTCGGAACCAGCAGGACCAGACTTTCCTAAGGAAATGGAAAAGGATTACAATATATTTGGAAAGCAATTGTAATCAATTAACATCACTTGTAGGGTTAAAAGAAGTTTTGTAAGGTGTATTATATAAATTATTGTGAAGAGAATTAAGAATAGTTGTATTTAAGATTTGCATTTATAGCAATAATTATAGTAACAAAATGCACAATTAGAAAAGATTTTAGAAAATCACTGGTCAAGGTTGAAGGAAGTCCTAGGCTGTGATAGCCAAAAAAATTGAAATGTTTAAAAGGATAATATGCTGGAAAATATGTGTAAAAACCAATAAAAAATTAAAGATAAGAGAAAAGCTGCTCTGCCTCAGTGCCAGGGGAAGGTGGTGCCACAGTGCCTTGAAGTGATATTCTCCATCAATGTGAGGGAAAGGCAGAGACTCGCAACCGGCTGCCCTGCTCTCCCTCGCATGAGGAGTAATCTATTGCTATGTATTGCCGGGTCAAAATTGTTACTGCAGTGAGATTTCAAAACCAATTTTGGCCCATATACTGAAAAATTACACAGCACTAAAACAGACCATACAATTTGTGATATAACCCTGCAAAAATGACCAAAAAGAAAAATAGTGGGGGGGAGGTGGCAAGGGATGGGGCTGCAGAGCCCCTGGGTGCATTCCATGGGAGTCCCAGGAGTCCCCGCACCCCTAATTGGGAACCACTGATGTATAACATAGAACACGACTGCTTCATAATATGATCATGGGACATTCAGAAATTATAAAACAATGCAGCTACATAAGAACATGAGTCATTCATGAAATAGAATTATAAATGAGCCTCTGACATACGTATCTTAAGTATGTATACACACTCATTTATTTTAAATAATTTGCATAAAGGCACAGGATTGTTTCCAACAGGCAAATCCATAAAAACCCACAAAATGACACAAGCCTTTAAAAACATGTAACGACTCATCAAAGGACAGGGATGGCCTCATTTCTGTCATCTATGCTCTAGTAGCCTCTGGGTTAAATAACTGCAATGTGTTTTACATTGGGCTACCTCTGAAGACAGCTGGGAAACTTCAGCTGGTGCAGAATTTGGGGCCCTGGTTGCTCACTGGGGCAAGACGGTTTGAGCAGACAACACTGATCCAACTGCAGTGGCTGCCAATTAGTTTCCGAGCCCAATTCAAAGTGCTGTTTTTTGTCCCAATAAAGTGTTAAACAGCAGTACCTCAAGGGTCATCTTTCCCCTACGAAGCTACCTGGACTCTGCAACCATCATCTGAGGCCCTTCTTCGTGCACCTCCTCCATGAGATCCAGAGAATTGCAACATGAGAGTGAGAGTGAGCCTTTCCTGGAGGGGCAAAAACATTTCTCTTCTCCCAGGCCTTTGGCAAATTAAACAATCTTTGGCCTTTTAAACTGTGGGTTTGGAGTTATTGTTTTTGATTGTCATTATGGTATTTTTGTGTTTTTATACTGTAAAACACCCTGTGATCTTCAGAGGATGGACGGTATAGAAATTTAATAAACAACAACAAAAAATCATTGCTAATGCAGTAGTTGCAGCTTTTCTCCTTAAGTGCCCATCAAAAAGAAGCATCTTAACTAGCCACCTAAAACTATATAGAGTTGGGCCCAGGAGAGCACACCAGGTATCTGATACTGAGGATGGGCCTCCAGGAGGGCCTCAGTTGCTGATCTTAGAGTAAGGGCAGGTTGATATGGAAGGGTTTTTGCAGCAAATATAATGGAATTATTGGTCCTAGAAAGCTTAACTGGCTCCCTCACTTGTTCTTTCATCAGATGGTAAAGAGGTTTTTTTAAAATTCAAGCTGTAGGCTAAACCACAGAGCCTAGGGCTTGCCGATCAGAAGGTTGGCGGTTGGAATCCCCGCGACGGGGTGAGCTCCCGTTGCTCGGTCCCTGCTCCTGCCCACCTAGCAGTTCGAAAGCACGTCAAAGTGCAAGTAGATAAATAGGAACCGCTCCGGGGGGAAGGTAAACGGCGTTTCCGTGCACTGCTCTGGTTCGCCAGAAGCGGCTTAGTCATGCTGGCCACATGACCCGGAAGCTGTACGCCGGCTCCCTCGGCCAAGAAAGCGAGATGAGCGCCGCAACCCCAGAGTCAGCCACGACTGGACCTAATGGTCCCCTTTACCTTTACCTATTCCTTTGTTTTACCAAATAAACAATTTCCTACCTAATGTATTTGCTTTATTTGTTGAACCTTTCTTCATCTTATATTACTTTGATGTCATTTCATTGCATTTTCTAATGTTTTACTTGCAAGTTGTCCTGAATAGCAGTGAGCACATGGGATTTTGAGAGAGTGCTGTGGATGCCAGCCACAAAGTGGGTGCCAGGAGTGGAGTGCTGCATAACACAGAATGGCTGCCACATCTTAAAGAGCAGAGAAATTGGTGCACAAAATGTTTGCAGGCATGCCCCTGCATCAGCCACCCTCACCAGTGAGAGAGAAAGGGAACTACACCTGCCACCACCCCACTTCACTTGCTCTGAAAGAGAAGCCCTGTGCACCTCCCCTTTGTTCAGAAGAGAAAGTGGGCATCCACTCCTGTCACCCACTGCAAAGTGGACATGTTTGGAGTGGTGAGAGTTCAATGTAACAAGAACTGAGCATTGAATTACAAGAGGATCTGTCCTGGAGTGTCAACACAAGGGGGCTTGTGAAGAAGGCGCAGCAGAGACTGTACTTTTTGAGAATTCTAAGGAAAAACCATCTTCCGCAGAAACTGCTGCTTGCCTTCTATCACTGTGCCATTGAGAGTGTGCTCACTTATGGCTTATGTGTGTGATACGGAAGCTGTACTACCCAGGACAGGATGGGGTTGTGCAGAGTTGTTAAGGCAGCAGAGAGCATTGTTGGCTGCCCACTCTCCACCTTAGAGCAGATTTATGCCACAAGGTGCCATAAGAAGGCACTGAACATAGTAAAAGATCCATCGCATCCTGGTCACTGTCTCTTCGAGCTCCTGCCGTCAGGACAGAGATACAGGACGATGAAGACAAGAACGAGCCGTCTTAAGAACAGCTTCTTCTCCAGAGCGATCTCGGCCCTGAATGGGAAGCCTGGACTTTGAAAGTCATCTAATCTTCCTTGCTGTATTATACTGTATTGTTTTAATTAGTGTTTTTATAGTTGTTTTGATTTTGTGTGGAGTGCCCTACCTGGGTGGATGGAGCAGCCAAGTAATTTCGTTGTCCCCGAGAGGGGGCAATGACAATAAAGATATTATTATTATTATTATTATTATTATTATTATTAAGAGCAAAAGTCTTTCATACATTTTGGATTTGTGAGGGGATATTTACTGAGACCTTTCACAGGTGCTGTAAGAGATACTGGTAGGTACACTGCTGCCCACAGGCACCATGCTGGGGACCCTAAGAAGGCTGGCATATATAATCCTGAATTGCAGCAATTATCTAACAGACATGGTGAAATTCTAGGTGTTTCCTCTCATATTCGGCCCAGGCATAGAGGGAAAATATATTTTAAAACAGAAATACAAACAGACAACCAGAGGGACAGCCACAGCATGTTTGGAAACAGGCCAGAAATCCGGTGCGAGGCCAGTAAAGGCGCTCACACGCCACGCGGACACAGAGGCACCCAAACCACGCAGGCATTTCTGATGTGTTGCCCCACGTGCCCCATGGAAGGAAGGGGGACACTCAGTCAGAGGCAGAAGCCCAAGGCCAGAGTCCGGGAGCAGCTGCCCTGCCTGGGGCGGAGTGTTGTGCTGGGACGCCAGGCTCTGTCAGAGGGAAGGGAGAAGAGAGGGAGGCTGGCTGGGTTTACCTCCGCCCAGCGCAGGACGGGGAACTTCCTCACATGGCGTGTGGGGCTCAAGGAAAGATGCGTCTTTGGTGTGAGCAGAGGGGTGCCATGTTTCAAA